AAAAAAAAAAAAAAAAACTAAATAACTAAATAAGGACCTAATGTATATTATAGATGCATTATTTCTTTTATTTATTTATGTTAAATGATTCAAGAGTGGTTTTCTTTCATTATAGGTTTGACGTTATCATAAGAAACATTCATACCGTTGGAGCACAATACATCAATAGTTGCAAAATTTTTAATTCATTTGGCAAAGCGTCTATTTTATTCAAATGCTTAGAAATATTTTGCCCATTTTTTTGAGAGAGTTGAAAAAGCACGATTTCGGGTTCTATACATTTTCCTTTTCTCAACTAGCCACCGTTTTTTCTTTTCCCTCTTTTTGAATAGTAAATATTGAAACATACAGTCAACTTCATTATTGTATGATCTTTATAAGGTATTTCTACTAACAATTCATGAATATCTGTGAACAACCGTGTCATCAAAATTGCTGATTTTGTTTATATATATTTATTAGTACAACTATTGTGTCTGCATGAAATATTCATGAACCTTTCATCATAACCATATTTTTTTTAAATACTAAACTGAAATGGGTTATGATAGTAAACATCAACTATTGCTGCTAGAGCATATATTTGTTATTATTTTGACGGTAAAAGCATGCTTCTGACCCCTTTCTCCTGTTACGTATGAATGAAATTTCATCTTATTTATTAGGTCAGAAATGATGTTACAAGATACCGTTATGGGGACGAGCAGCATCTTGATGAAGCATTGAAAAGGATTTTTCAATATGGGCAGGTAGGAGTTTTCCTCTCACTAGCTTTCTGAAGTTATAAATTTCATAATCAGGGCATAATAAAGTCGCCTAACAATGAAAAACAAAATGCAATTATTTACACAATTTATGTAGGATTTTGGTTCTCCATACTGCTTGATATTGGTTTGGGTTTTATTTGTCTGAAGTTTGAGAGAAGTATCAAAGTAATCACAAAAGCATGAGGGGTTTAGTGGTCCTTTTCAATTCTATGTCAAGTTTTAGCATTATGTTTTGTACAAGAAAAATATGAGATCAATGATATAATTTAAGTAACAGAACTAAAAATATGCAATTTGGACTATGGTTTTATTCATGCCATGAAAGAAACTCATCAGATTAAAAGATTGTATGATGTAGCATTATTGTAATTTCTTTATGTGCAAGAGAGAGGCTTGGGATGCTAGGAATGCAGAAAAATGTTTATTACGGCTGAGTGGCCCACCAATTACGAAACTCATCTGCTGTACTATTTCTACAAATGGCATCGATTACTTAAAGATTACGACTTTCAAATGAGAATCATTGGTTGAATTACAATTTTCTCAAAATTTCACCTAGTAGTTTCTCCTTTCGCAGTATACCTTAAAGTCCAGACCAAAATAGAATTCCTAGTGTTGAAGAATTTTGAATAAGTCCCCGTCCACCTTGCAAATCATACCTACAGTTCCACCGTTATTCAACTTTCTCAATTAGCCGAAAATTTGAATGTCAACCAGTCTTACAGAGCCATTTGAAATTCATAAATTATACTTTTTGAAGCCATTATCTGTCTACCACTTCCTTAATTTCTTCAAAAGACATCTCTTATGAATTATTTTTTTCACTGTTCTTGCAGGGTGGAGGTATTCCCCGAAGGAGTGCTCCTATCCTACAAATGATACGGGAAGAAGTATATCTTGGAACTTAGCTTTGTTTTCTCAATTATCTTATAATAAGTTTTATTCAATTTGTTATAATGTGTTACATGGTTTTGATCACTTTGTTTTTTGGGAAAGTTGCACTTGTTCCTACTTGAGTGCTCACTTATGTCTTTGCTGCTTTACTAATGATATATTATTCATATGCTTAAGATGACTGAGGATGGTAGATACTCTCTGATATTGGTATTTGAAGCTAAAGCTCTGCAGCTGTCAGAATTTGAACAGAGAAAAGTAAGATTCATTTTCTCTCATGCAAGCAGATTTTTTGGATAGATATGTCCTCTTCTCCCTGCACCCCAAGAAATATAGGTTTCAATAGGCAACGTTCAACTTCATCAGTTTCTTTTGCTTTCCGTTGTACGTATTTTTTTTT